TAGTTTGATTTGTCCAATAACATTATTTAGCAAATTTATTAATGTTTAAGTTGTTTTTCGAAGACACGATTTTATGATTCGTATTTAAAATTATGAATGTTTGGTTTATTAGAAAGAAATGAATTTTACAGTTCCGCATTTAAATACATGAAAATTATGTTGGTAACACCTCAAGATACTTGAAATTTTGGGGCGTTACAGATCAGTTGAGCTCGAAGCTTACCATAAACACCAAGAGGAAACTCATAGCATCTTAAATAGAAAGACAGCAATGTCGTATACACACGTATTAGTTCATTAGTGTGTAACAGTTCTAAGTAAAATGACGAGGATTCTGACAAATATTTCCATTGAAAGGAATCCAAAAAACAGTCATGGCCAAGTTTATCAAGCCTAGATAAAGAGTAATAAAATTGAAAAATCAACATAATGACAACAAATCTTTAATAAAGAAATAACCTAATATCAAGATTTGAAGCCATTTTCATCAAACCGGCTCCACGAATGTTGTACTTATCGTAAACGTTTTTCCAGTTCTTTGACCACCAAGTCTTTGAATCTCTCAAGGCTGCATATGCAATGACAGAAAAATATAGAAGTTAGTACTTTACATTTAAATCATGCATTTCTGGAGTAACGTAACAAGAAGTTAGTTATAGAGCTAGTATAATTAGCATTCAACCAACAACTAAAATAAGATTTTAGGACAATGTCCGAAGAACACTGTCTCCAGCCAATTTTCTATCATAATAGTATGATATATTTCCAAAACGCTGTTATATAACACCAATCATTCCACATTCTATCCACTATACTAATAACAAAATCAAATAACACAAAGCAAGTTAGACTCAGCAATTCCAAATACCTGAAGCGCACTCATTTGATATCTCTACTTTCATCTTCACGAGCTTGTATCACCTTTGACAGATCCTACTGAATTTCTAGATGAGCCATTAATGCCTTGGGGCACAACTCCCTCAGTCCTACTTGCAGCATTGTATATTTCACGAATGTTGTATTTATTGTAAACATTTTCTCGATTTTCTGACCACCAAGTCTCTGCTTGTATCTCAGAGAATCTCCTCCTGCTGCATATGCAATGACAGGAAAAATACAAAAGTTAATAATACAAGTTCAATCCCAGGTACTTTGACATTAATGAAATTGCAACTGACATAAGAAATGTGCATAAAACTAGTTTAAGTTATCATGCAATCAACAAATCAGAAGGCGATTCAAGAGCAATTACCAAAAGAACCTCTCAAAGAAGTTTTCCATAATAATTATCTGATATATCATTTAAAAGTTTTATACAACCGATGATTCAATATCATTTTAAAATGAATCTTTTACTATCAGTATTAAGCAATACCCAATGTCACATTGAGAAATACCAATGCCAAATACCTGAAGCGCACCCGTTTGACATCTCTACTTCCATCTTGAAGAGCCACAAGTGTTACACGAACCCCAAGTTCATATTGTTCAATCCACTCAACCTCAATTTGATTTGCATCAACTTCGTTGGATCCTACTGAATTTCTAGATTTTGAGCCATTAATGCCTTGGGGCACAACTACCTCAGTCCTACTTGCAGCATTGTATGGTCCACGAATGTTGTATTTATTGTAAACTTTTTCTCGATTTTCTGACCACCAAGTCTCTGCTTGTATCGCAGAGAATCTCCTCCTGCTGCATATGCAATGACAGGAAAAATACGAAAAATAATAATACAAGTTCAATCCCAGCCCAGGTAATTTGACATTAATAAAATTGCAACTGACATAAGAAGTGTGCATATAACTAGTTTAAGCTATCATTCAATCAACAAATCAGAAGTGATCCAAGAGCAATTACCAAAAGAATCTCTCAAAGAAATTTTCCATAATAATTATCTGATATATCACTTAAAAGTCTTATACAACCGATGATTCTATATTATTTCAAAATACCTGAAGCGCGCTCGTCTGATATCTGTACTTCCATCTTGAAAGACTACACATGTTATATACACCCCAATTGTATATTGTTCCGTCCACTCGGATTCAAATTGGCTAGAATCACGGGTAATCAAAGCATTTTGAGATTTAGAACCATTTCCATTAAGTCCTTTACTGCGCAGGTTATTTTCAATGCTGTTGACAGAATCATTAAGGAATTGAGAGGGGCCGAAATCAGATCTTGAACTCCTTCCTTCGTTTTCAAAATTTTTTTCTTTTCTCGGGGGACTCGAAGATAGTTCGTCAAAATCCAACGATACGGAACTCGCGCCGCTTGTGCTTCTTGAATGGGCATGAGCCATTTCCAAATACTGCTCACGTCGCAGCACAGCTTGCAACAACCTCTCCCAATTGTCATACACAACAGGCATCTCTGTTTCGGCTTCAACAACTTCAAATACACAATTTTTCTATTATGGATAGTGATCACCTGAGCAAACTCTGAACCTATACAAGTACGGATACGGTTAAATCAAGAAGTGATAAATAGCAAAAACCGGCTCAAAAGACAAAATCACATTTATACATTCCGATCACTGAGCAAGAATCTTTACATAACCGCGAACGATCATAATTCCAGAACACAATATATAAGCGATCAATTTCTGAGAAACTATCCCCACAATTGCTTGGCTCAAAAGTAAAACTTCTACACGGTAGGGACTAAAGGTAAGAAAGAAAATGCGAACGAATACGCACACAAATTGAATTAATGTTCACGGTTTCTCCAGAAATCAGTAAATAAGTAAAAATAACCACAAGAAAAATTAAAATTTTGAGTGACCTCAGTGATGAAACTGGAGGAGGAGCTAATCTTGCTCTTGTTTGCACTTTCAATTCGAGATTGGATTTGATTGGGTTCAGCATTTTCCTCCAATTTAGGGGACTCGGACATTTGACGAAGAAAAGACAAAATAACGATCCAGGAGTCAAAAGTCATTTTATATAAAAATAACATAAGTATTTGTCGGCCGGCTTCTATCAGTCCCACTTGTCATAAAATATTCGAAAAGTCATTTTTCTTCAATTTTACTTTAAATTTATAGTTTTCATTACCTTTTAATTACACATTTTAATTTTCAAACAAATTATTTTCCAAAAACCTACATCAAACCTGTTTACGGTTCTTTTGATACTTAAAATTTGACTAAATGTTTGCTTGGAATAGCTTAAAAGTTTGCTAAACTAGAGTAAAAAAAAAAAGTTCGTTTGATTCGATATTTCACGATATAAATATCCATTTGAATCGATTTAAATTTTTTTTAAAAAATTTAAAATGTTATAATAATAAATATATTGTCAATTAAGTTTAAATATAAAAATTATTTTAAATTATTAAACGTAAAATCATAATCGTTAATTTTTCTTTTCTACCTCACCCTCAACCCCCATACTCACACCAATTTCTCTCAATTTCATTTTTCTTCAGTTTTTACGCTTGGTTCGATATTTTA